GTAACCCGAATTTTAGCTCGCAACTCAAAGCAAAAAATCGGCCGAGAGATGGCTCGCATCTCAAAAAACTCGTTAGTCGGGACACTCGTAAGTCAAGGCCCCACTGTATTATGCTAAGTGAAATAGCATAGCCAGTCAGAAAAAGACAAATACCATATGAACTCACTTCTATGTGTGGAATAAAAATAAAAATAAAAAACCTGAGCTTGCAAAGTAGGGGATAAAGGAAGTAGGTAAAATGGATGAAGGGGATGAACATGTACAAACTCCAGTTATAAATCATGAGGATGTAATGTACAGCATGGTGACTCTATTGCATACTTGAAAGTGTTGAGGGAGTAAATCTTAAAAGTTCTCATCACATACCCCAAAAATTTTGAAACTACAGTGATGGATGGTAACTAGGCAGTAGTTCTCAACCTCCTGGCCCTTTAAATACAGTTCCTCATGTTGTGACCCAACCACAAAATTATTTTCGTTGCTACTTCATAACTGTAATGTTACTACTGTTATGAATCACAATGTAAATATCTGATATGCAGGACGATCTTAGGCGACCCCTGTGAAAGGGTCGTTCGACTGGCAAAGGGGTCGCGACCCACAGGTTGAAAACAACTGAACTAGAGTTATTGTGATCATTTTGCAATATATACAACATCAAATCACTATGTTGTACATGAAACTAATTATGTGTCCTTTATCTATACTAATAAAAGCCTATGTGGTCGTCCCGCCCTCCTGCCATGATGCCCTCGCGGAAATGAGTGATCACCAGGAGGCTGCGTGAGCAGCAGGTGTGCACTGTTGGTCAGGGCTGCGTGCACACAAGGGTGGAGGGGGGCTTGATGCTGTGTGTGCGACACAGAGGCAGGTCCAGTGGCTCCCTGCAGTGCAGCCAGGAGTCTTGCAGCTCTGCACAGCACAGAGGCGGGACCCCCAGCTCCAGCCTACCTCTTTGGGGCAATCCATCAAGGAGCCCCGGATGGGTGGGCAGAGCATGCCTCTTTGGGGTGATCAATGGTGGGGCTCCTGCACTGGGAGAGGGCACAGGCCAAGCTGAGGGACTACTCCCCGCCCCCCACCCCCGGAGTACTCAAATTTCATGCACCGGGCCTCTAGTATCTCAATAAAAAAGTAAAAACAACAAAAAATTGTATTGCATATTAATTGCAGCCATCAATTCCATCACAGAACAAGTAGCAAGCAGGAATGTGAGACCATAGTCATCCTCAACCTTAATATACTTGAGACCTTGATAGGTTTTCAATCTCACACATCTTGAGAAAAAGCATACTCCAGTTGTGGCTTTTTTTAATGTATTTTTATTATTTTTAGAGGGGAAGGGAGAGGGAGAGAGATTTAGAAACACCAACGATGAGAGAAAATCAGTGATTGGCTGCCACCTGCACACCCACTACTGGGAATCGAGCCTGCAACCTGGGCATCTGCCCTTGACCAGAATCGAACCAGGCCAATGCTCTATCCATGAGCCAAACCAGCTAGGGCCTACCTGACTCTTGCCTGGAAAAGTCTGTGATGGCAAAGCAAAGAGAGCTGTAATGGGCTTGGCCTGCACTTCCAGAATTTGGCACATCCAGGAACAGCCAAGTACAAAAGTCTTACAAGGACCTTACCAAGAGGATTTGGTCTGCTGGAGTGAGGCAAGCCCACACTACAAAGGCTGTCTCCCCCCATGCCCCCTCCTCAAGATTTAAATATATTGCAGAAATAGAACAAAGAATTTTTGTATATCTTTCATCCAGATTCCTCCAACGTTACCATCCTACATAATCACAATACCGTGATGAAAGCCAGGAAATTAGCACTGAGACAATACCATGATCTGATCTCTAGACCTTATTCCAATCTCACCAGTCCCGCTAATAGCCCTTTTCTGTGCATTTAGCTGTTATGTCTCCTTCACCTCCTTTAGTCTGGAAGTTTCTCAGTCCTTTGTCTCTCGTGACCTTGACAATCTGTGAAGATAACTGGCTGGTTATCTTGAAGAATAGCCTTCATTTGAGGTTCGGCTGAGGTTTCCTTGTGATTAAATTCAAGTTACACACGTTTGTTAGGGATACCACAGAAGTGATGCTGTGTCCTCAGGGCATCATATCAGGAGGGACACGCTGTTTGTCCTATTCCTGAAATTAATAAAAATATTTTTAATATATTTTATGTATTTGATAATGGCAGGGGTAATTTTTCTTTATTATTCAATTACAATTGACATTCAGTATTATTTAGAGTAGTTTGAGGTTTACAGCATGGTTGTTAGACAATCATATACTTTACAAAGTGGTCCCACTGATATTTCAAGAATATAGAGTAAAAAATATATTTTATGCTCAGCCGAGGTTGTCCAGTGGTTGAGCATCAACCTATGAACCAGGAGGTCACGGGTTTAATACCCAGTCAGGGCACATGCCCAGGTTACAGGCTCAATCCCCAGTGTGGAGCAAACAGGAGGCAGCCGATCAATGATTCTCTCTCATCATTGATGCTTCTATTTCTCTGCCTTTCCCTTCCTCTCTGAAATTAATAAAAATATTTTTAATATATTTTATGTATTTGATAATGGCAGGGGTAATTTTTCTTTATTATTCCATTACAATTGACATTCAGTATTATTTAGAGTAGTTTCAGGTTTACAGCATGGTTGTTAGACAATCACATACTTTACAAAGTGGTCCCACTGATATTTCAAGTACCTGACACCACACATAGTTATTACAATATTATGGACTGTATTCCATATGATGTACTTTGCATCCCTGTGACTATTTGTAACTGCCAATTTGTACTTCTCAATCCCTTCTCCTTTGTCATCCAGTCCCCCAGCCTCCTTCCCCTCTGTCAACAATCAGTATGTTTTTTGTATCTATGAGTCTATTTCTATTTTGTTTGTTCATTTATTTTGTTCTTTAGATTCCACATGTAAGTGAAATCATATGGTATTTATCTTTCTCTGGAAGGTAGAATTTTTAAAATTTAGTAACCACAAATTCATAGAAGGTATGAATCAATGATTAATTTTCTTTATTTCTTAAATATTTAGTATTGGGAAAGTTTATCTTGACAAGATTAAATTAAATAACCTTGTGCAAAATGTTTTTGCCACGTGAAATGCATTTATTTAATCTAGAGCTAAGGTCATGTTGGACGGTGTATCATATATTGGCCATAATCCACAGTCAAAGATTGGGGAGGTTATAGTTTCATTTGTGTGCAAATTTTTGCATTTGTCATGTCCAATTTCAGACATCTATCAGACATTGTTTTTAAGTATCACATAAAACAATAAAATAAAAGTGAGAAAGCTACACACCTCGATGTTCAGAATTCACAATCCCTTTGTTTTCAGAGTAGTCAGGTGCCCTCCTCTGCTCCTGAGATGAAGAATGAACTCGCACCTCAGAGTAAGTCACGGCTTCTTCTCCCATTTCTGAAAATCATAAACATATGGAAGATAACATGAAAGCTTTCTTATGACTTCCTTGGCCATAGACATTCCATAACTAAAATACATGGTTCATAAAGATGTTATCTAGATTACAGTTAAACCTAATAAATAATTTGGAGTTTCTTTTAATGTAGAGAATATTTTGAAGAATAAATGATCATTAAAGTGCACAAAAGATTTAGAACAAATTGTTAGGGCATAGTATCTTTTATTACATTCAACTTAAATATTTTTCTTAAATTACAAATTACCAACTTACAAATTGATGACATATGTTAAATTAATTCTTGTCATTACTTAATAGATAAAAAAATTTTAAAGCCAGGCTATAGAAAATCTCCCAATTTCACTTACGGACCATCATACTTCTGGATAAACTTCTCTCTTTTTAGTACAGATTTGTTTGCCTGTATTCCTCCATTATCATCAGGTAATTATTTAAAATAGGACTTAAATTCTACCTCGGTCAAGAAAACTTTTCAGATCTTTCAGTAAGAATTTATCACGTCTTCCTATGAACTCTCGTTTATAACACTTTTCTTTAAACCCATTATCATCTTTTGTTTTGTTTTATGCTGCTATTTCCTCACTAGGACACACTATGGTTGCAGAAGTCACGTCTTAATAATTTTGTTATTAATGCCATTATTTGTTAGGTTCATTTATGCACTTTATAATTCCAACAACTTGACTTTGATGCCAAACTGAATATTTTATACATCAAATACATTCAATCTAAAAAGGAATCTTAAAATTTTAAAGGAAGCTTTGCATATGTTTCAGTACCTAAATAGTCTATGGCTATTCCATGTACTATTGAATGTACAAATCTAACAGTAAGTTTTCTGAACTTCTTTCCAGTAGAATTTTGTGTTTCCTTATATTCTTTAAATATCTTTCCATATAAAATTAAGAATTTCCTTTCAAGTATTTCTAATGATCTTATTTCCAATGGTTATCGGAATCAAGAAAATATATTCAAGTCTGTTCTAGTCTGCCTTCCTACCATCTATTTCTTTATTAATCTAATCTATAGATCTTTCATCTATCTGAATATGTACCTTCTTATTGATATATATCACTCTCCATGTTCTACTAAAATTATTTTGATCAAATTTTATTTAATAATTTTTAGAATAAGATTTATTAAGTAAAATACATTAATATTATGAAAAGTACCTGCTTTTTAGAGGAAGATGCGAGGATCTTTGCAGAATGCGTATTTTCCTGGGAAAGGAGATTATAATTCTTGGGAAGAAGTCTGAATATAAGAATTCTTGATGACCCTTGGTATAAAATCCAGCCCAGAATATAAAGAGAAGACAATAAATACATAGTATAATGTCTTTTTTTGTCCTATACACAAAATAATAGGTGAGAACGGAGTCTGAAAATAAGTGTTCTCACGATGCAACCACACAGGAAGCCCTTCGATCTAAAAACGTCACCAGATCCGGGGCCTTTTATCAGTCTGAACTTTAGTAGCATCAAAATACCTGGTATGTTTTCAGTAATGATCAATATGGTTCACTCAATTCTTGGATTTTAAGACTTAAAAAATACAGATTTTTTAAAATTAGGAAAGTAATTCACTTTCGCCAATACCCCCTTTTAAGTTTTCTGCAATGTATCTTATCAACTGTTTGGCTACAATAGTACATCAAAATGTTGCTAATGGATGTGCATAATTTATCACAGTATATTATATTTCCTTTGTTTTATAGCATCATGTGTCATTTAAATTTTCAATGGAAATAAAAGTATCTGTCTTACCTACAAGCTGAGCTTGGAAAGGTGACTAGGTGTTAACTAGAGAGTGGAGTAATGGGGAAAGCTTGGTAAGCAAAGGAAATAGCATTTGCACATTTCCTAAGCCAGGAATGAACATATGGGTAAAGTTTTGGCATACAGACAAAGTTGTGAAACCATCACACGTGAAATAAATTTATCTGTCTCCCATACACAGGATGTGGCAAAAACAGGCATTCAGTTGTGAGTATGCAAAACACAGAGCTTATTCTTTATGCATGCATATAAGCATAAGCAATGGATGTAGACAACAGGGGGTGAGGGTGAGGGCAGGATTGGGAGGATGAGGGGACATTGGGGGACACATTTGTAATATCTTAATCAATAAAGAAAAAAATAAGAATTAAAAAAATATTTTTTAAAATCTTTTGTTCAGTTTTTATTATCCCTTGTGTATTGGTGGAATTATTTTTTGTATTTATTCCTAAATATATTATTGTATTTACTATTATACAAATAGGGCTTTCATCCATTTTCTTCTAAATGGTTTTATTTCTGTAAAATAATGCTATTTATTTTAGTATATTAATTTCACAACCTGTTAATTTGCTAAGTGACTTATTATTTGAGCTGGGTTTATCACTGGTTCTCATATTATTTTCATACATTATCATGCCTTGTGGAAATAAAAAGTTTTTATTCCATTTTTATATATATATTTTTTCTAGCCTAGTTACATTGGCGAACATGACCAGAACAATATTAATGAGGAGTGGAGATAATTGGCATCAATGCCATTTTCTTACTCTAATGCAATATCTCAAGGATTTTTCTGCAAAGTAGAACACTGGCTTTAGAATGCACACACACACACACACAAAAACACACACACACACACACATACATTCACCTACAGTATATATATATGTACTTTATTCAGTTAAAGTATCCATATATTTTTACTTTTCTTGAGTTTCATATTAATATGTAAATATTAATTGTATGTAAATATATAAATAAATAAAGATCAATATATCTATTGAATAATGTTTGTAGACACTTCAGGTGCATTTTAAAAGGAGGTATATTTTCTATTATCAGTATATATTGGTCAATATACTCTGTATGTCCAGAATATCTACCACACTGAAAATATTACTAAGATTATTTATAACATAACTTATTTTTGTCCAAATTTTCTGTCTTGTATTGAGAGTGGCCTGTTAAAATCATCACTTTTTCTAGTTCAAAATGTTTTTATTATCCCCAATAAAACTCCAATAAGCAGTACTCTTCATTCTCCCTTCCTTCCTGGCAACCAGTAATTTGTTTTCTGTAACTGTGAATTTACCTATTCAGAATCTAATCTAATAAAAGAGAAACAGGCAAACTGACTGCACCTCCACTACACCCCAAGCCACGCCCACCAGCCAATCAGAGTGACTGTATGCAAATTAACCCAACCAACATGGCAGCCGGCAGCAATGGAGCTGGAGCAAGCAGGAGGCTTGGTTTCCCTGGCAATGGAGGAAGCCAAGTTTCCCGCCTGCCCTGGCCGGTTGTGGCCTCTGCTCAAGGCAACAAAGTTTCAATTATAGAAGATAAATAAATCCCAGATACCTGTTTCCAACTAGCCTCCACTGGGAGATTGGGTGGCTGGGGGCCATGGCCAGCCTGCAAACAGCCATCAGCCCCTCACCCAGGATGGCCACACCCTCATGGGGTGAGGGTCCCCACTGGGGTCTTGGACAGCCTGCAAATAGCCATCAGCCCCTCACCCAGACTGGCCAGGCACCCCAGCAGGACCCCCCACTCTGAAGGGGATGTGGCCAGCCTGAAAATGGCCCTCAGCCCCTCACCCAGGCTGGCCAGGCACCCCAGCGGGACTCCCACTCTGATCCGGGACACTCTTCAGGACAAACCAGCTGGCCCCCACCCATGCACCAGGCCTCTATCCTATATAATAAAATGGTAATATGCCCACTGGCAAGTGGACATCCCTCGAGGGCTCCCGGCTGCCAGAGGGATGTCTGACTGCCAGCTTAGGCCCAATCCCCCAGGGAGCGGGCCTAAGCCAGCAGGTGGTCATCCCCCGAGGGGTCCCATACTGCAAGAGGGCACAGGCCGGGCTTAGAGACACCCCCCCAAGTGCACAAATTTTTGTGCACTGAGCCTCTAGTCCTATATAATAAAAGGCTAATCTGTAAATGGACCAAACGGCAAAATAACTGGTCACTATGATGCACACTGACCACAAGTGGGCAGACACTCAACACAGAAGCTTCCCCCTGGTGGTCAGTGCCGTCCCACAGGGGGAGTGCCACTCAGCCAGAAGCAGGGCTTATGGCTGGCGAGCACAGCAGCAGTGGCAGGAGTGCTAAGGATGTCCGACTGCCGGCTTAGGGAGCAGGCTTAAGCCGGCAGTTGGACATTCCCCAAGGGCTCCCAGACTGTGAGAGGGTGCAGGCTAGGCTGAGGGACCCCGCCCCCCCCTCCTCCCCGCTATGCACAAATTTCGTGCACCAGGCCTCTTAGTATTTCACAGAAACAGAATCATACTATATAGCATGGGGCAAAAGTAGGTCCACACTTGGGAGTACGTGAAACAGAGTTTTTCTTGTATTATTATTTTTTATTATTGTATTTATTTTCCATATGAACAACTGTAAACCTACTTTACCCCACCCTGTTGTATTTAACCTTTTGGTATCTTTCTCGGAAACATAATGTTTTTGAGGTACATTCATATACTAGCATCTTTTAGTACTTCATTCCTTTTTATGACTGAATGATATTCCATTGTGTGGATATGCCACACTTTATCTGTCCATTGATGGACATTCAGTATGTTTCTACCTTTTGTCAACTGTGAATAGTGCTTCTTTTCAGTGTACAGTGAATAATGTTTGTGTATAAATATTTGTTTGAGTACCTGTTTTCAGTTCTTTTGGATATTTATGAATGTGTTACTATTTGCTTCTTCATGCATCTCATTTCATTTTTTTTTAATTGTACAAATAGCCACTGTTATTTACTGGATAGATTCCTTAAATTTTAATCTGCATGGTAGTAATCAATTTTAACATTATCAAGTGTCTTTCCTCCCTCTGTTTAATTCTCTATAGGTACACTTGTTTGACTAGTATCGGGATTGCAACCTACTGTATACTTACTTATTGTTTCTCCTTGCCTCAGAAATCGTTGTTCATCAATTTACTTTTAGCATTCTATTACTTTCCTGAGTTTGATCAACTCCTGATTGATTTCTGCCTTTTTTTAAATTTTGCATCTCTGTTCTTTTTATGACTCTATGAGGATATCTAAATTAATGTGCAGTACTATACGACAGTTTTCTTCAGCGTTGTGGTTGTTTCCTCTTTTAGGTGCATGACTTCTTAGGTAGAAAGTACTCTATTCACATTCTTGAACTGTTAAAAAGAGGTTTTATATAAATGTAGTCATTTTTTTTTAAAAAAATGATTTATTTGGTGGCTGAGATTCCCAGTCAGAGAGCTTCCTCTTCTGTCAGATCTGCCCTGTTCTGTGCAGTTTCCTTTATGGAGGTGCTGGTATGGAGCTGGGGAGAGAAAAGGAAGACTTTTTTTCTCTTTTATGACTTTAGAATTCTTAAGTCCTCCAAATTATTTATTGGCTTTTACACTCACATCGCTAAGATGCAACACTCCTTTCTTACATGCTTCTCCTACAGAGAAAATTTTTTTTCCAGTTTCTCACTTCTTGTCTTACATTGCAAACCCTTCCTCACTTATAAACTACCAAATTTCAAACTATGTTAAGTATTTTGGAATTTATTGCAGTTTTATCTTCCTGACTGGATTGCATCTGGGCTTCATCTATGTCCTCTGCTTCTCTTTGTAATAGGATATTTTAAGAACTACCCTTTACCCCACAGCATAGACATTCAGTAGCAAGAGTTCTGTTAATCTGTTTTCTCAACTTACACATCATTTGTGGTGTTCTTTGTCACTGGAAGGCCTGAAAGGGCATGAGTCTTATGTAGTTTTCTTTGACTCCTTATTGATTTTATGGAATTGGGGGAGACAGGAGGGACATTTGGAATCAAGCAACCATCTCTGCAATATGACACTGGAGGTTTAGCTAGTACATTTATTAAAGTACCCTTTCTTTTAGATTCTTACTCTAAAATATATTTGCTACTCTTAACCAGTAAAATCTTGTATGGAAGACTCATAAGTTCTCAGTGAATAAGCATTCTAAAATATGAATCTGTGGGGACAGTGTTTGCCATGGACACCTTTGCCTTATTGTTATTTATGTAGTGTTTTAACAAATAGCTATAGCCCATAATGGCTGAAAAAAAATGAAAGTCTAACCATTTTAATGCTGGACCAAGTAAAAGCATACAGAGAAAGAGTATCACATTGGATTTTACAGTATAAGTTGTATAGTAGCCAGAAGCATCCCAAAGAATATGGTTCAGAAAATCTTGGCCGGTAATCAGAAAATATTGGAAGTGCTAGTTAGTGCTATATAGAGATGTTTTATGTTATTGTTTAAAATGGCAATTGCTCTATCAGTCATATAATGGAGTCCAGCTACAATTTCTT